ACAAGGTTTTTTAAATCATATTTTTCCCTTTTTAAATGATGTTTTATTAGTACATTTGCATTACATGCATTTTATAATCATTTTGGAGAGTTGGTATGCATTCATAATACAGTTTATTCCTTTTCAAATCCTCCTCATTCCTATTCCAGCCCCCCTTTCCTACTTTTCATTCTTGCTATTGTTAATCCTAGCTCATGATCATGGTATATAAGCTTCCGCTGAGGGTATTAGGACCTTGTACCCGGCGTATCATCATTCCACATACTTCCTCACCCCCTCCCCTTCACCCCTTACCCTTGCTTCCCTGGACCCCTGTCCATATGCCAGAGATTCGCCCCTTCTCTCCTCCTATCTTCCCTTCATTTTTCTCCTAGTTTGTACTTTGCTTTACTCAGATGAAAAATACCATACAGTACTCAAGTTTGTGTGTCCAATTTGGGCAACCAAATCCACAGATATTAATTTCTATGATCATGCTAGAGTTTGTAAAGGCTACATACATTCTCTTTAAATACTAATGTATTTTGGATGTTCTATTTTTGCTAAATCACACAGTAAACTCTAACAGTCTGGATTCTTTGTAGAACCAGAGTGTTAGTATTGTCACACAACCTATTTTCAATTTTGTTTTGATTTTCCCAGCACCTTAGCTGTTTTGACCTGAATACTTACTTAACGGGAACACTGAATGCTGAAGTTCTCATTGTGGGTAAAATTTCCCTGAGTGAGACATTCAAACTGACTGTAACTGAAGTTATGAATGTAAAGCATCTATGTTTACCTGTATGTATAGCATTTAGGTTAGTTTTTATTTTCTTATTATTACAACCAGAGTCTTGCTTAGTTCATCTTAAGAGAGAAATAATTTACAGAAAACATAGGAAATCTTTGATATTGTGCATGTCTTCGCCCAGAGACCAACCTTGCCTATCTTCCCTTTCATCAGTAATTATCTCAGTCCCTCATCTCCGCATTTTCTGACTCACCCCTGATAACATCTCCACCTCAGGGTTACTATAATACAGCTTGTACATATCAGGTAATTGATTCCAGCTTTTATAATCGCTGAGTCACAATACTGCAGTCAGAGTCGTTTTTTTGCTTTACCACATAACAGAAGCAGACAAATCATTTCAACACTCCTACCCCAAATCGCATCTGTCTGAGCTGAATGTAGGTCATAAAACATAGGTCTGTGATGAGATATGCCATGACTTCAGGATACCTTGCCTCCTTTGCGACAGATCTAACCTTAGCCGCTGTGAAACAAATCTTTCACTCCTATTATTTCAATAGAAACTTGCCATAATAAAAATACTTTGGAAGTTAGCCGTGCTCAACCATTATGCCTCCAACACAATAAAGATACTTTGAATAGCACATGGGAAACACCGTTATGGATCTTATTCTATTTATCTCAATACTAAATTGTTAGGCTACTCTCATCTGCAAGATGAACAACACAAACTCAAGTTTAAAAGGCTTCCTCAAGGTGGAGTTGAGGCCATAGGTTACTATACCTCTAAAGTCAGTGGCTCCCAACTATCCACATCAGTAGAATCACCTGTAGTTATATGGACAAACTTCTAGGCCCCATGTTCTACAGGACTGCTATGGCTAGTTAGTTTCCCTCTGTGCATATATTACCGGCTGTTTGTGGTTCATTTTTATTTTCTAGGTGGATTTCAGCCAAGAAAGGAAATTGAATCAAACTATTCTCTTCTTATAAGCCAAGGGAAATATGAATGCGATAATAAATCCAATAGCAACATATCTTGATGTGCTTTTATCTCCTTTCTGAAGTAGATTGGTTTTTCCATCAGGCAAACAATATAGAAAAAACAGGACACCAATGATGAAGGGGCTGCAGCAGCAGGCCTGCAAATTGCCTCTGGAGGGTAGAGAGGAGAAGCCCTGATTTATAGCATCTGCTGATTTCACTGGTGCAAATATTCCCACCGCGGCCAGTTTCAAACTATTAATGATTTAACAACCTGCTCACAACATTCCTGAACATTAAACAGCAGACCCCTGAGCCAGCTCCAGCATACCACCGTGGGAGATGTAATGGAGAAACTGAAGAATTTCTATGCATAATCTAAAGTATCCATTGTATGGCCCCGAACATCACTATCTAGTAATTTCAATAGACTCACAAAAGTGTCCCCGAAGTTGCTTCTCACTCAGTTTCCAAGAAAATGTTCTGCCAGGGCTGAGAGGCCTAATGAAGCCACACATAAGAATACTGGGAGAACACTTGCTGGAAAGGAAGTGGATGCCATCTTTAGGATCCGTTCTGACCAGCCAGGTGACAAGGGCAGGAGGGTGCGACAGCTGACCCTGCTTGAGAGCACCAGGATCTGAAACAGTAAATGGGACTTCCAGAAGCATGGCTCTGAGCCTTAGGGCCAAAGCCTGGGTCTTTTTGAGCCTCTGCTCACCACGGAAAAAAAAGACAAGTTTAGATTAGAATCAAATCTAGTACTAGCAGTAAAGTCCATGAGCACAGAACTGAAGAAACCGCTGCCTGGATGTAAGCTGGGGACCAAGCTGTGGGCAGGCCAGCAGGTGACAGTCCTACCTGTCCAGGGGTGACTGTTCTGCCCAGAGCGGCCTTTGTGTAGCATGGTCAGCTTGGAACACTGTGGCAGTTTGACAAACACTATTCACTGCATGTACAAGTATCAAAAGCACATTCCAAAACCAAATATATGTCACCTACTACTTTACATTTATTCCTTTGCTAAACTTCCAGGATAGAAATGCACATGAAATCATAACAAGGCTATGTAACCTATCCTGGAGCCCCACGGGTAGCTCACCTCAACAGAGTTCTATATAAGGATAAATCTGTGCTGAATGCTATCACAGTTTCATTCTGGTTGACTCCATTTGCACAATGATTGTACAACATTGTTTTCCTGACTAGAAATGAGAGGTAGCTATTTCTCTTCCAAGAAGGCAAAGTGAAAAATTAACTCCCAAATGAATCAACCAGAAAGAATGCAATCATGATAGGTCTTAAATTTCAGCAGAAAGACTCCAGAGAAGATAGTGTGGGTGGATTTCAAATAAAATTTAGATTTAATTCAAGCTCAGAGTTAGTGGACCAGTTGCTTAGCCGAAGTCTGTTTTCCATCTACAAAATGATAATCTATGCTAACATGCAGAGTAGTATGTCTTACCATGCACTGAGCGCAATGTTATCCTTAATTACCAAAAGCAACCCTCAAGAGTTTGTAACTTGGAATTCATACTTCTATAGGGATCCAGAGCTGGCAAAAATTAACAGGCAAAATCTCAGAGACATGTATGTGTACCTGTATATTTTTGAGTTCTTAAACAGGGAAATGCTGAGAATTTTGGTATCTGGGGTGAAGACAGAGGTAGGGGTGGTAAAAGGGAAGGTGTGTGAATTTTGGAAAAGCCTCCCATTGTGATTTTGATGCTCAGTCCCCAGTCTGGCTTGTGAGATCCCAATTTAGACAAAAAGACTATAATGTTGATTTGGGCATACTGTATACATACACTCAAAGTAGGTACTAAAGGTAAATTAAAGATTGAATTTCCTAGGTACTTTTTCAAAGAGAAATGAAAGTGTATGTCTGTATGAGCACTCACACATAAGTAAGGAGAGCAGCTTTATTCATTCTAGTCCCAAACTGCAAGCAACAGAAAAGGCCAACGGCAGGGTGGGTAAGTGAGAACATGCACACTGAGACACGAAGGACTCTCAAAAACATTCTAAGCAAAAGCTAGGCATAAAAGATGATTTCATTTTTATAACGTTTTTCTAAATTAATGCTACTGGCAGCAAATTATCAACTGCTTTAGGGAGCAGAGATGAAAAGATTGATTCATTGATTATAAAGGGATGTCAACGCTTTTAGGGGTAACTAAAGTGTATCTTGATTGCAGTACTAGCTTCATAGATGTATACATCTGCCCAAACTCACTGAGTTGTAGTACTTAACATTATTTAACATTCCCAATTAACTCTACATAAAAACATCTCTTAAATTGGTAAAAATTGGATTAGCAATCAGAGATCAATACTAGATCTCATGAGACAGTTCCTATGTTTCTAAGACTACTTACCCATCAACTCAAATTCATGTCCTTTGAATTACTCTTCTAGTACAAGTAAATGAAAAGTAATGATTCCTCAGTACTATTATCCCACTGGACCATGAAGTTTTTAGAGGCAGTCAGTGGTATACTGCAAAGTTAAATCTAAATCATCAGACAAGAAAGACAGTGGGACAAGGACCCTGTCTCCTGAGAGCCATAGCCTGGTCTGCCACCTGATCAACTTCATGTGCGATTTGCTCTCACAGGCATGTCTGGGTATCAGTCTCTACTGTAGGTAACACACATGAGAGTTAACACACAAGTCCTGAAAAATTTGCTTAGAATGTCTTTACTATAGTGAGGTGGTCATTGAAAACTGCCATAGTCAACTAACCTAGCCAATTCAAGCACTTTAGAAGCACTAATATCCTGTATATTTTATCAGTACTTTTATGTATGATTGTAAAAATCCTGCATTTTTTAAATGTCCTTATTTTTAGAAATAAATTTGGGATTTATAAAATAGAGTAAGACAATGAAATGCACTTAGTGAATATACTCAGTTTGTGTTAAATGAGCCTGCTTTAAAAATTCCATTTAAAAAAAATTCCATATTTGTCCTGCATTTGCATAAAAAGTTATAGATTTATAGCTGCACTGTATTCTGACTGCTGCAACAGAAGTAGAACTTCTGATCAACCTGACCTCAGTAGAATGCCTCTAAAAGACAACTGCTCCATATAATAACCTTCTGGAGGAGACACACTTGAACAATTTTTATTTCAAAACATCTACAAAGTTTTAGCTCTCCATTATACAATTTTCCAAAATCCAGACATTATTCAAATGTAACCCAAAGTTATTATACAAATAGAATACACACAAAGATCAAAAAAAAAAAAAAAAAAAAAATATATATATATATATATATCTCCCACCAAACTGTGTTACATAAATAAGAAAATATATACATCTGGTAATTTCAAAGTACAATTATCTTAAATAATGCTGCATCCATATATAGAAGGTACAAAAATAAACACTAAAGCAAAAGTTACAGGAACAACAAATTACATTTTATGACATCTATAAAGATAAAAAAAAAAAACAATCTTGGAGACATATATACTCTACATTTGGATCCTAATTTTACTTCTTCCCTTTAGAATATTCTCAGCATGGAAGAAAGTCACCATTCTACCAACTATCCCTGACCCCCAATACAGAAAAAAAAAAAAGAACATGAGAAGAAATACATAATCTATGTCTTTGTATGTTGGGATAGACGTAAAAGAACTTTTTTAAAGTCAAATCTCTATAAGCATAGACTCAAATTTTCCAAGTAAAATGAACTATTGAAAAACCAAATAAGGCCAGGGAGATGGCTCAGTGGAATAAGCGCTTCCCTGGCAAGTGCAAGAGCCCGAGTTCAAGCCCTGGTTCCGCAAAAAAAAAAAAAAAGAAAGAAAAACCAAATAATTTAAGCTAGAAATACCAAAAGACTATTCAAACATTCAAAAACTCTTAACACAATGATCAGCAATGAAAAATTATGCCAATGGTTCTGTGCATTAAAAAAAAAAAAAAAAAAAAAAACCTCCAGGAGGTTTACGATTTGCCCCAGAAATTCTCCTTCCGTTTCTGAGCCCGCGTCAGGGTTTGCAAAGCACGGAGACTAGAAGCTGCAGAACGAGCTGAAATCTCAGACAATCTGTCCTCGTCTGCAAGAAAAGAATTCCAAAATTATAGTCAGTGAAAAAATATTTCCTAGACAAATACTATGTTTTACACAACATTAAAGAAATTAAAAGTACTAAGTGTTATAAATCAATGTCGGGTATATCAAAAAAAATCCATTCAATTTAAGATTTTTAACATTTTCATATTTCATGGTAGTTTTCCAAATTTATCATATATAGATATTAAACACCTCCATTCTAAAGTCCCATCATGTCATTATTGACAACTTATGGTTTCTGTATTACGTGGAAACAGTTTATCCGGAATTTCCTACTTTCAAAAGTGTTTGGAACAAAAATCTTTTAAAAAAATTTTTACAAAGTGCTCTACATTAGTATGGTATTTATATCACTTTTCTAAAACAATTTCATGAAATACAGAAGTAATTTTGACTTTAATGTGCTATCCTTATTACTGAATTTCCCTATTCTCAATAAACAAATCTATAAGCTTATTTATAAACACTGTTCTTCCCTTATGAAGAAAATAGAACAAGATTCAAAATTACAAGTTATGTCCCAGATTTTCTGATCAAGAAGGTTATGGGGCCAAAGAGGAAATTGATCGATGACGTGGAGTGTGCCTAAGGAGAGTCACAGGAGGAGAAGACACTCTCTCAGGCTTTCACAGAGAGCACATTGGCCAAGCAATGGCCGTGACTCATCCACATGGCTGCACTGACAAAGGTTCTACAATCTGAGGTACAGGATCTAAGGATAAATCCTGAGGGCATTTCACTGACCTTCTCAAACCAAAAAGCTACAACTCTTGTTGCATAGGTCCTGCTTTACCTTGGTCTTAACCATCCAGTAGAAAAGTATGAAGATGAAATATAGGAAGTAAAGCCATGTTGTTATGTTGAGCTGTGGGGGACTCAGGTCAATAATTTCTGACATTGCCAATTAAACAGAAGACCCAATGCTATTATGGGCTTCTGTACTCTTTTAGAATATTTTGCTGAGTTTACACACCCATAATATTCAACAACAGAACTTAAAAAAAATTGGGGTATAACTATGAATGTCCATTTTGTATCTGTGTATTCAAAGTGGTTGGGTAGATATATAGTTGCATTCTCTTAATGAATAGAATGATTTTTTCTAATGGTGTTTGTAAGTAGGATCACAAGTCTGCATCTTGTACAGCAATTAACCACTAAGAAGAATATATGCAGTGTATTATTTGTTGAAACTGTACTTTCGATTTGATTTGAAACTGTCTCATTGCTATATGTTTATCAATAAAACTTTGAAAAAAAAAAAAAAACAAAATTACAAGTTATTTTGCATTTGAAAACATAACCACTTGGTATCTAGTCTCACTGAATCCTGAAAAAAAAACTTGCTAAAGGAAGAAAACACTTTAATATACGTATTTAATATATAAAATACTAAATTCAAATTTATTTCCCAATTTTATTTATTTTTTTATTCTTTTGATACAGGGTTTCACTATGCAGTTAAGACTCGTAGTGATCCTCCTGTCTCAGCCTCCCCAGCACTGGGATTATAGGCGTGCACCACTGCGCCTCGTTTGGGGGCTAGCATGGCATGCAGTACCGGGGATCGAACTCAGGACCTTGCGCTTGCTAGGCAGCCCCTATCTCCCCAGCCCTATTTTTCAATTTTGATTGTTCGAAAATTCGAACTTCCTCCTGCCACTATCAGAAGCAAATGATTTATCAGAAAACTACACAGCAAAATACAATCTATTTTCCTAACTCTACAATTTTGGGCCTACTGATAATAGGCAAAAACACAGATATTTGGAAGAAAAATAGATATAATGCGGCTATACTCCTGACTCCCCAAGCTGAGCAGAGTAGACCCACAGAGGGGCTGAGCACTGCAGCGAGGCAAGGCATGGTCTCTTGGCAAGTTTCTAAAAAAGATTCTTCGCTACTTCCGAGTCTGCCCCTTTTAAATGGGGATTATTTCACCCCATCACAGGATTTCAAGGATCCAACAAAAAATGTGTGTGGGAATACGCTACAAGCCATGAAGTGCTAACCACATGGAAGCTTGTTTACAATTAGGAACTATCATATAATAGAATCTCATATATTTTTGGTATCTTGCCTAACTAACATACCTTCGTCGTTAAAGGCTTCATGCTGAGGTAACTGGAAATCATTCTTCCTTGCTTTTCCCACTTGAAAAAAGAAGGCAGAAAAAGTTATCCTTCAGAGCCACCAAAGAGCATACAGTAATGACATGGGCTGAATGTCAGTCTGACCATCTATCCCTTCAAAATTCATGCTGAAATTGAACCACCATCTCGATGGCCCTGGGAGGTGAGGCCTTCAGAGGCGTCTGGGCCGCGGGGGCTTTTCCCTACCACCCTCTTTCTCCAAGTCCTATTCAGTGTGCCAGGGAACACTGCAGCCAGCAGGCCTGGGCCAGATGCAGCCCCGTTACCCAGCATCTCCCAGCCTCCAGAACCACAAGCCACGGCCTTTCTATTCAGAGGGAATGACCCAGTCTCAGGTGTTCCGATACAGCAGCACACAGCAGACTAAGACAATTGCAGTAACTCTTAATAAAAAAGTACATGAGCAGAAACTTTACTAATGTCTTAATCTTTTGATAGAAATTACTACCAAAGGGCCACTCATTAATTTATAGTGTATTTAGCACATATGCAGACCACAAATACCCTCCAAGAATTCAATGTTGATACTGATCTAACTGTAAAAAATCATAGTGTGAAAAATAAATAAATTTAAAAAACAAAATGGGCCGGGGATGCAGCTGGGCATAGCCCTTGCCAGGCAAGCATGAGGCCCTGAGTTCAACTCCCAGTACCAAAAAAATTAAAAGGAATCATTGTACACCTCTCTTTAGAGATGACAAATTAAACACACATTTATAAATGTGATACAAAGCCAAATACAAAAGAAAACGGAAGACAAGAAAGTAGTAAGAAATGTTTAAAAAAATGAAAACAATGGAAGGGGAGGAGCCTGTGGTGCCACCCCCACGTGCTGAATTCTTACACCAGCAAACAAGTGAATCCAAGCGGAAGCTCACTTGCTCCCCTAACGGCTTCGGTTTGGAAGTACTAAATCTTCTTTAAGCCAGGAAACTGGTTACAAAACAGGTAACACACCAGATTTTTCTCTAAATTTACACAGCTGAATAATGGCTCCTCTCCTGAAAGGACAGTGGAGGTCTTGTCTCGAATGGCTTCTTAGAACTACTCTAAGTGGACACCAGTTTCACCAGAGGGCAACGGTACCACGTTCAAAACATATATACCTATGTCATAGAAATATAAAAAAAATCCATCTTGAGCTGGGGAGACAGCTCAGCAGCATAAGCGCCTGCCTGGTCCCGAGTGCAAGGTCCTGAGTTCAATCCCCAGTACTAACCCAAAGCCAGTTGAGGTGGAACACGCCTATAATCCCAGTGCTGGGGAGGCTGAGACAGGAGGATCACTCTGACTCTGAACTACAGAGAGATCCTGTACAAAAAAAAAAAAAAAAATTCTCTTCAAAGAGATAAAACATTCCATCCATTAAATAAAAATGGGATGCTATATAAAAAGTTTATAGTATTAAAAAGTTATTATAAATTAAAAATATTACAACAAATTTAAAAACAGAAGAGACAGAAAATTAACATTTTCAAATTAAAACAAAAATGATGGAAAAACTAAAATTAAAATAAATAAGAGGTGGACAACTGAAAAAAATAAGAAAATATATCATGCTCAACTATGTCTAACATCTTAGTTATCGCAGTGCCAGAAAACGGAGAGGAAAAATTACTATTTAAAAGAATTTCCTAGAAGTTAGAATTTCCCAACGGAAAGGTCTCCAGAGTACCAGCACACCCGAGAAAGCCCACTGTGCGACACATCCCTATAAAATATCAGTGTGCCAGGCACAAAGACAAAATCCCAGAACAGTCAGCAAGAAAAATGACACAGAGAAGACGCACAGTAAAACAGCACAGGCCTTCCCAGCACTAACCGTGGAGGGCAGAAGACAGGCAAGCAAAGACTAGTAAGACGGAAGCCTCTTCTGACCCCGCATTCTATGAACAGGCAACACGGCCCTGGCTAGCGACACTCTGGGTGGCCATGCCTGGACAGGACGTGCTAGCTCTCTCCGGGGGGACCCAGCGGTGAACACTGAGAACTTGAGAGACACTCCCACTGCTGCGGCAGTGAAAGGCGAACTTGGTGCCACATGCTCAGTATCCTACAGAGACTTTTTTCTACTTAAAGATCTAGTAAGTCAACAAAAAACAACAATTTGTTAATATGTACTATATTCTTATTGCATCTGTATCTACCAGTGTAACACTTTATTGTTAATATATACTATATTCTTACTGCATTTTATCTACCAGTGTAACACTTTCATTTTAAAAGATAAAATGTTAAAAGCAAAGAACAAAGAAAATTACCATTATGTTGAAATTCTGGATCTCTGAGAGATCCCTGAATTCGACGAGAAGGATGCCAGAAGGACGGGGTACAAGGCGGAGAAGGCGGCTGGCCGTGGGCGTTGGTTGGATATTCTGGAATTTTCGAAACTGGAAGAGTTGTCTCAGCAAATCTGGGGAGAGTGCCTTCAGAATCTTCCCGCAAAGGCAGAGGATCAACTGTTTTTATACCAGCAGCAGGAGAAGTCAGTAAGGCTAAAGCACGACTTCCCTTCTAAATGACAAAAAAAGCAGGTTTTTTAATAAAGAAACCAAACATTCAAATGAAAAACAAAAGTAATAGGAGGGACTAGGAGAGGAATGTACATAACCTCCAGAAGGCAGGCTGCACTTATAAAAGCGTAACAACCAACACAGATTTAACTGGATAAAAATAAAGAATGTAAACATTTTTAAAATTAAAAGAAAAATTACAAATTTGAGGAAAATATACAATGTATAAAACTAATAAATTATCAAAATTGCTACATAAATATTTAAAATAAGAAAAAGATAAACCTAAAAGCTGAACAATAATATAAATAAGGAATTAATATGTACACAAATATAATTAACAGATTCTATTTGACTAGTATTCAAAAACTCACAAAACAAAAGCACTGAGTATCAGCTTTCACTAAACTGCAAAAAGTTTTTAAAATGCTATGACCCAGAGCTGGCAAGGCTGGGGGAAACTCACTCTCCACAGAACTTATTCAAAGCACAGTCTTCCTGAGAACCAGCAAAACACAGCAAAAGCTTTAAAACTCTGTCCTTTCACCATGCAGTCACACTTAGGGAATATTTACACAAAAGAAGATAGTAACAATGTGAATAAAAATGCACCTAAAGAATTGATTTCTTTTAGAGTATTTTTTAAAAAATAGAAAAATTTAGAAGTAGCAAATCTGAATAAAAATTAAGGACAAATAATATATGGCTAAAGAATTTCTAAACTATAGATTGCAGATCATGTTAAAAATAAGATATAAATGATATTTAATGAAATGGAAAAAAGTTCAATTTAGGGTTACGAAAACAGATTATGATGCCACTTGAAGATACACTCATAGGTGAAATAAACCAGACACACATGTGTAAATATCGCTAGTTTCCCTAGTATAAGAACTCAAAAGAAGAAATACAAAGAGAAAGGTATAATATAATTAAAAGGAAAGCAAGAACTTGAGGACTAGACAATGAAGAGAGAGCAAGGAGAAGAGCTAGGAAACATGACAGAGGCAAGTCATACAGATATATGTAGAAGATGGGTAAGGCAATGATCCTGAGAATCTTCAGAAGATTTTTGAATCTAGCAGTTAATTGGAAGGATTCTCACCCTGACTGACTATATATGCTGACACCTGTGAACTAAGCAACTGCAATTTGTACTAATAGGTTCATTCATGCTTGGAGTGCCTGTCATTCTGGTCTTCTGAATACGGGCTGCTTGTCATGACATGCTGGTTGCTGCTGTGCTGTCTCTTGGGTGGATGATTGTTTAAAAAGGAAGAGGGTGGTGAATGAAGGCAGGAGACAGGAAAAGGAGTGATGCAGGATTGTCCTGCTACAATGCTGTATATGGCTAGATTTCTGGACTTATGTATAAACATATATAATTCTTTATTCCTATTTTTAAAATATATTTTAATTTTCTAAATTTTTTTCATCATATTCTGTAGGGACTTAAAGTTTAACATATCAATACCTGATGAAAAATACCTGTTCTATGTTATGCCTAAGATGTTTGATATTCAGACAGATAGTGAGGTTAAGCTCAACAGCCTAGGTTGTATGGTAATAACAATAAGCTTTTCTTCTGGATGGTTAACAACCTAAGTTTGCAGACCAAAATTAGAGAAAAAGGAGGGCAGCAAGGAAAGCCAATATTTTGGCCTTAGCCTTCCAAGGTCAATTAAGACTCAGGACATATGAGAACTTGTACTATAACATCATGTAACTCAGAATTATCCCAAATTTTCTGATCAAGGAGATTATGGGGCCAAAGAGAAAAGTGATCAATGATGTACAGTGTGCCTAAGGAGAGTCACATGGAGAGAAAACATTCTCTCAGGCTTTCACACAGAGCACAATGGCCAAGCAATGGCCATGACTCATCCACATGGCTGACACTGACAAACGATCTACAATCTGAGGTACAGAGTCTCAGGATAAATCCTGAAGGGATTTGACTGACCTTATCAGATCCAAAAGCTACAATTCTTGTTACATAGGTCTTGCTTTATCTTGGTCTTAACCATCCAGCAGAAAAGTATAAAAATGAAGTATAAGAAGTAAAGCCATGTTGTAATGTTGAGCTGTAGGGAACTCAGGTCAACAACTTCTGACATTGCCAGTCAAGTGGAAGACCCAATACTATTATGAACTACTGAACTATTTTGGAATATTTTGCTGAGTTCACACACCTATAATATTTAAATGACAGAAATAAAACAAAAAAGGGGATACAGATGAATGACCATTTTGTATCTGTGTATTCAAAATGGTTAGGATAGATATATAGCTACATTCTCTTAATTCAATGAATACAGGGATTTGTTCTAATAGTGTCTATATATACGATATCATGTCTGCATCCTGTACAACAAATAATGAATAGGAAGACAGTATGCAATGTGTTAATTATTGAAGCTGTCCTACCAATTTGATTTGAAACTGTCTCATTGTTATTTGTTTCTCAATAAAATTATGGAAAACAAAAAGAAACCTAATCTATAGCATAACAAACACAATGACACCCACATGTATTTCAAGTCAGTCTCTAGGAAAAACCGTAAGTCTCCACTTGTTTCCTTTTTTAACTATAAATACCACTTAGTATATAATACAAATAGTTCTAACAGCAAATTGGTTTTTTGGTTTTTTTGTTTTTTTTTTTTTTTTTTTTTTTTTTTTTTTTTTTTCTGCATGTATCAGACTTTGGAATCCCTGGCAAATTGGTTTTACTACTGCTAAAAAGGCCCGATGAAACCTGCAAAATGTTGACACAAGGAGTTCCCGGGGTTACAGACACAACTGCAAGGCCGGCTCTTGAGCCAAAAGCCTCCCTACTGGCCTAGCTGCTGCCCCTCTGCCTGCAGCGCTCCACTGTGTGGCCACCGTGTGGGGATCTGCTCGGTAAGTCAGATCTGAGCACCTGCTCTGCTGGACAGCACTTGCAATTTTCATTCACAGCAATTTCCACCATCTGAAGTTATCTTTCTAAAAAATTATGTTTGTGTCTCCCAGTGAAAATGAAGGGTCCATGAAGGCAAGGATTTTGTTGTAACCATTAAGGAATCCAAAGCCCTAAAACAGGGGCTGCAATATACGAAGAGCCCGTGAACAGGGAGTTGAACGAATGAAAATAAAACTGTCATTTCCCGCCACAGAGTGTCCAGAGTTCTATCCTCAGTGCCTGGCACCCCCATGAACCTCCTTGGAAAGCTAAAGACTTGGGAGTCACCCGTGTTCCCAGGTTTAAGATAGTTGAGCGGCTTCCCATTGCTCTCGAGAAGTTCTCCGCGCTGCTAGCTCTGCCAGCTCCCGCGCACGTGTACTCACTGGTCTGTCCTCCTCCTCTGCAAGATCTCGGCACACGCTACATTCTTTTGCATGATGGTTAGAACACCTGCTCCCTCTGTAGCTCAGGTGAATTATGATTGCCCTCAGCAGCACCTTTGATTTCCAGAACCTTTCTGACCTGCACGGTTTAGCCAGTTCCTTCCAGAATAGTCCTGTTATCGCTGTTAGTTTTCAGTACTGCATTTCTGATTAACAGGTATTTCCCAGAGCACCTACCACTTAGGTAGGCGAATAAGAAACACCTCCTAAATGAATAGCCAGTATTTGAAAATGCTCTCTCCTTGGTGACCAAACCAGCACTCTAAGAGCTCTGCTCTTCAGCAAGTTCTATGAGACAGCACTGGGTAAGGGTGAAAGTCATGGGTCCTGAGGGCAGAACGACTGGAGCTAGAGTACACTCTACCACGTGACAGTGACGGGACTTCAGTTTCACTGTCCACATAAACAAACAAAATATCAAATACCTACGTCCCACAGTCATTCTGGAGACAAAGCAAGGCATTCCATGTAAGAGGAAGGCAACCAAATCGCCGCTGCCACATCGTACTTTCACAATTCAAGGTGAGTAGAAGTTAACAGAGGAAATTTCTGGATATTATGATAATATATTCTCCCTAATTCTCATAGTAAAAAGGTATGTAAGGTGTTAAAACTCAAACTGAATAGTCAGAATAATTTATTGGAAACTGAAAAGCTTCAGGGTTAAATTTTATATATAATGAGCTTCGATAAGAAAATTATGTGAAAGTTTAATAACATATCAAGAATCAACAAACAATAATAAATACTCACACCTAGTTCCTAGCACAGATCCTGGTAATGTTGATGGCAGCAAAGTCACATGAAGGGACTTCTAATCAAGTTGTTAATATGAAACCTGCCTATTTCTGAAAAGTTTGCAATTAACATGCTAAACCCATATTGTGCACCCTATGAGGGAAAGCTCGACACTAAAATGTTAAAGGATAACATTAGCTTCTTTGGGGCATTAAAAAATTAATTCCACAATAAATGAAAGTAATACATACGAATCCAGCTGAAATATGCACTAGATCACCCACCGCAGCTGGGTCAGGGCTGCACGCACACCTCCCTGGAGCCTCACCCCTTCCAGGTGGCAGCCAGCTCCCAAGGCCAGGGCAGGGAAGTCCACGGGGCAGGGGAGACCTACCATGGCATTCTGATCAGCCCTCCCGGGACTCTGACTGTCACATCTCCTTCTATAAACCACCATACACATAAGCAGCAGAAAATAGATATCCTGGCACTCCTGTACTCAACACAGGCTTGATGAGGTCCTGCTGTGAAGTGAGCTCTGTTCTAAGCACTCAGGGGGACTGTGACTCCATTTCCCACCTCTCCCAATGCCCCGAAAACTCCCACTGCGCCCTCGGAACCCATGAACAACTATAGGAAAGTCCTCTCAAGACTGTTCAACCTCTTCTCTGAGTGGTTCCCATCATGTAATCATTTACACCCATGATTACATGAGAAGCCACCCCTGCGCCTATTGTATTTGCACTGTATTTTAACTGCACAAGGCCTACTGGACCTCCCTAACCAACTCAGCTTCTACATACGACTGCTACAGTTGCTTCATGGCACATATCTTAACTCCCTTACTATCACTCCATCATACTCTTTTAACATGACATGTGACAAACCCCGGTTTTATAAACCTAACTCTACGTATTCCATACCTCTGCAAACAAAGATCCCTTGAGAAAAACACACAACCCCCCCTCTGTCTTACATAAAATGTGTGACTACTATCTGAAATGACCCCTTAACACTGTTCTCATCACAAACTCAAAAAACAAATGCTGGAAAGGTGGGGGGGGGATTCCACGTAGGTGGTAAAAATATAAATTAGTACACTCACTATGGAAATCAGTGTGGAGATTCCTCAGAGAACTAAAAATTCCATTTGATCCAGCTATTGCTCTGTTGGGTATCTTGCCCCCAAAATTAAAGGTATCATATTATAGTGACACATGCATGTCCACATCAAGCAGTACAACTCAAAATAGCTAACTCTTGAAAATGGCCTATAGGTCCATCAACAGATAAACAGAAAAAGAAGATGTGGTATATATAGGCAATGGAGTACCACCCAGCCATAAAAAGGATAAATATGAGCCATCTGTAGGAAAATGGATGCATCTTGAGATCATAAGGCTTAGTGAAATAAATGCAATACAAAAGCTTAAATATTACATGATTTCTCTTACCTGAGAAACCCAAATATAAGCATCTCGAAGAGCACAATAAAAGGCAGATGACAGGAAACAGGGAGGTAGACTATTTGAGATGAGAAGAGGATGTGGAGGCTGGGGTGAAGGGGAGGTAACAAGGACCAAGGCGCGATGCCTGAGTGCACCAACTCCCAATGCTGAATGTATCCATCGCATATGAAAATACACACGATAATAAAAAATTCTCCAATTACCTTGTGTCACTCCCCTTGCCCTGTCTCACTTGCTCTCCCGCTGTCCAAAAGACCAAGCACACCTCCTCAGGGCCACATTCTCTTCCGCAGCTCATTCTCAGCAAGGATGCACTCTCTGTGCCATCAGCAAGCAATCACAAGAGGCCTCCAAACGCTGTCCCCACCACACCCCCTGCATTCAGAAGCAGAGCCCACCGAATCTGCCTTCCCTCTGTGCCATGGTGGGGCTACCAGGGTGCTCGAGGCAGCCCCGCCAGTCTCCTCTGGATCCTGACCCTAGTCAGCATCTTCCCAGGAATTTCCGCCCCAGTCCTGTCTCATCAAACCCCTCTTGGTCGGCAAAATTATTCCCATCAATGTACAAGCACATCCCTTCCATTTCCATCTTGTTCTCACTTCTTAAAGCTACCACTCTATTAACTGTTTTCTTCTTAGAAAACCTCCTGTGATCACTGTCTTATCTTCAGGCCCTCTGTTCTCTTGATGCTATGTGCATTTGTTACTTCTGTCCCCCTTTTCACCAAACTACACTTTATCAGGGCTATTAACAACCTCGAAGTTGCTAAATCTAATAACCAACTCTATTTTCTTTAATTTTTTGTACCAGGAATTGAACTCACGACTCTGTACTTGGCAGCAAGGATTATCACTGAGCTAAACCCCCAGCCTACCAATTCTCATACATTACTGACTCATCAGCATCACTGATATGCCTGCCTGTACACTGCAGGCCACCAGTCTCCTGCGTGTTTCTACCTCACTTGGCTACTCCTCTTCTACTACCGCTGGTCAACTTCCTAATATCAAAAACTTAGGTCACAAACACGTCTGCACCTACTCTTCTCATTATCACTTTCTGGATGAACTCCTCCAATAGTACCTATACTGGTGGTGGTGAACCTATGGCACACGTTACTTGTTTTGCTTTTAAAACAAAAAGATCTCAGTGCCTGGGATACAGCACAGCATGACAGCGCTTGTCCAGCAAGCACAACATCCTGAGTTCAATTCCAGTACGAGAAAAAAAGGACAAAGAATGTTAATGTATGAGTTGTTTTGTTCTAAACTAAAACCTCCGTATTCAGGTTTAATTGCAGGGCTGGCACTTGGCAATAAGTAAGTGGGTTTGGGGTCAGTTTGGGTGCTTGTCTGTAAAAGGTTCGCCATCACTGACTATACCTACCCTCAAATCAAGCCTGGCACAGTGACACATGCATGTAATCTCACTCATCCCATTGGGAGGCTGAAGCAAGAGGATTACAAGTTTGAGATCAGTCAGGGCCATTTAGAGACTACCAAAATAAAAAAGGGGCTGATGATGTAGCTCTGGGGTAGAGCATTTGCTAGCTTTCTAATCAACATGTCTGAGAAAAACAATAAGCTTCTCAAACTGAACATGTTCCAAAGAGAACTCTTAATCTTTCTTACACTTCTTATCCCCACACCTCAGTTAACCAACTGACAACTCCATCCCGATTGCCAAGCCAAAAATCTTGAATCACCCTTGCCTGCTTTGACTGCCCCCATGATACCTAGCACCACCCAGGGGTCCTGCCGTCTCACACCGACTCCTGTCTCTCTCCACTGCCAGCGCACACACTCAGCAGGACCAGGACTCTCTCTCTGTTTTGCTCACACTGCGTCTCCAGGGCTAGACAGTGCCAGGAACACAGTCGACCTGCAAGCTTTTCACAACAGATGTTCAGTAAATAACACTGCTTCTCTGCTCTCCCTCCCTGTTGAGTCACTACCAACATTTGGAACTTTAATAGCAATGCACGGCCAGGACCAGAAAAATGAAATGAAAATGCAATGCATTTTCCTTACCAAAGTAGGTCAACAATAACATCTCCGCATAGGATGGGCAGAATTTTCTAAAATCTGAAGCATCTTTTTTTAAAACTTACCTTTCCCTTATTCTATTTGACTAAAAAAAGCTTTAGAAGAAGATGTTTTTCCCTCAAATATAAATATTTACCTTAGTAAAATCATTCTTTGGAGTTGCTACGCCATCCTTAGAAGACACTTTTCTCCTCTGCTCTGAGATGGGAGGCCTCACCTTCGATGGGGACACTAACACAGCTCCACCTAGAAAAGTGCAGAAGTCAGGTGTCAATCCAACTAACTTACATAGCAGAGACAAGGTACGAAAGAAGTACTTGGTGTTTGCCCATTACCGACGGCTGGGGTGGTGAGATCGTGGTGGGTCCTTTGGATTCCACCAAGTTCTCTCAGCTTCGGAGTAGGCAGCCGGCCTCCTGTCCCTGAAGATGCAGAAGAATCTGACCTACAAGTGGAAATAATCTGTTAGGAAGCATTTCCTCCAAACAACATGATCAAAAGCACTTTGTCAACATTATGAAGGATACAACAAGAGGAGGCAATTTTATTTCTGAGAAAATAATAAATCAACATGCAAATAAAAGGGACTAAATAATGGGAAAGGAGCAAAGCCACCAAAGGTCAGCAACGACGCAGCCAAGAATTCCGCCACCAACCAGTCTCCACATGCGTGGCACCACCACGAAGGAGAAAAGGATTGAGACAATATCCAAAATGCTACCAATGGTAAAGAACCAGTTCCCAAAGCAATCTACACAGAAAAGGAATTAGCTATTTTCAGAAATCACTTTTTATGTATTTAGTACAGGGCCTACAGGGTCTCACTACATAGATGGGCCTCCTAGTGATCCTCCCGTTTTCAGCCCCCCAAGCGCTGGAATTATAGGCACACACCACCACAGCCAGCCTCAGTCGCTATCTCAGGGGCGGGGCCAGCATGGCAGCCAGGGATCCAACCCCAGTCCCTATGCCTGCCTAAGCAGGTGCTTGAATCTGCTGATCTATCTGGCCGGTCCCGGAAATCACTTTTTAAAAAATACTAGAAACAGTATACTTTCTTTTTTTAGCAACATCATTAGACATTAACATCAGTTTTTTGTCCTTAAAGAAAGTCATTCTTCTGAACACATCTGCAAATCTGGCAAGTCATAATTACGAGACATGAATGAAAATAATCCTACTTCCTTCCCAAGTAGCCCAGTGTTTAATTACCAATTAGTGATGACTCAAATTATCTCAATGGACCAAATCATAAACCATACAGCAGTGCCTACTTTGTGACGTTAAGATCTTATTGTTTATAACAGTGTAAACCACCACACTTCTCAACAAAACAAAATACACTTCAGTCATGTACAGTGATCACTGAGAAGTATAAAACGCTCACCCTTCTCGGATCTTGCCTGCCTGGGACTTCTCGTGTGCGTCCAGTTTCCCGAGCTCTCCCATATGAACCTGCCTGGCCCTTCCTCTCGCCTCCTCCTCTTCCGCCTCCTCCTCCTCTCGGGGCTGCTTCTTCATGTCCTCACTGGCGTCCTCTGCATCCCAAGCCAGCCGCCTCCTCACAGGCATGGTGGGAGTCTCTGCCACATCCGGTTTTTCCACAGTGCTTTTCTGGGCATGTTCTTCCAAGATCTCTCTTTTTGCTTCTAGTTTTGTAGGAGGGCATTTCTGTAAAGTCTTATGGCTTGTGGGATCCCTGAATTATAAAATAATTTTCATCTTAAATTTAAGTAGTTTGAGTTTTCTAGTTTATACTAATTTTAGAGTTCATCATTTCCTTCCATCATTCTTAATCCCATACATACTGCCTTCTCCAGATATCAAAGAAATCAAATTAAGAATTCAACTTATGGTATAACCCAGTTACCGTATAGTTCCTATTAAAATATTCCCAAAATACTTTTCTTCTTTACTCCTACCCTCATATAAAGCATAATTGTACCTCTAGAGACAAATGTCACACTTAGCCTGAAAACTGGAATTCACATGCACAAACTAGGACCCAAAAAGGTATAACTAATTCAACATTTGTGTACAAACATATATATTTGTGGCCAAATATACTGGGACTTTAGACTCACTTTGTAACTCATTAAAAACTAAATTTTGTGAATTTTTTAAATGAGATATCACATAATTAGAATTTAGAAATTTGGTATGCGTGGCTATATTAACATTAAAAAACTACATACTATTTCATTTGCTAAAAACCATTGTGCACATCGTTAAAACACTTTAAAACCCAAAATAGCAGAGAATTTTCCCATATAATCAGAGGCCAAGCCCACAGGAACCACAAAATCTATTAAGGAATGCTAATACCTGTGTACTAATAGTTTATATTTTGAACTTTTATTGCTGTTCCCTTTTTTCTTTTTAAAGTCCCTTTACGTCTACCACATCTTTCTATTACGATCGTTATAAAGAATGTCACAAAATCCAGCCTTCCAGAATGTCATTGTGTTATTTATATATAAACTATACAGACTATAGTTTTATTTTCATAGAGAATAAATCAAAGGGCTGGGGAGATAGTTCAGTAGAATAAGTGCTCGCCTGGCAAGTGCAAGGGCCTGAGTTCAATCTCTGATTCCACCAAAAAAAAAAAAAAAAAGGTCAGAGAATAAATTAAAAATAATGAAGACAGTGGTTGACACGTATCTTCATTTGACCAGAAGACAAGTTCTGAGCTATCACAGGATATTCCTGTATTGTCCTACGGTACACATGGCTCCGACACCCTTTTCAACGTTCATAAAGAACATCTCACCTAGCAAGGTCTAATGCTTTGATGTTACTACTAAGGCTTCCTTCCGAGCTGGTGGTTGAAGACACATCCCAACAGCAGTTCTTATCAGACAAAATCTGATTCAGATGGTCCCGAGAAAAATGTGTCCCCTGAACTCGTTTCCTGTAAAACTCAGCCTTTTCTCGGAGTTCTTTAACCTACATGAGGAGTAAGAAAACATCTATTATTGTAAATGCTCCTTTACAAATATTACCAAGCAACATAGCAAAGAAAAGAAACTTTTCCTTATAGCCAGAGACCAAAGAAAAAGGCAAAAACAGCCACATACGGTCATGAGACTATGTGCATTTAAGCAGAAATTAAAACAAGCTAAAGCATAATGCAGTTATTTTATTTCAAGTCAGCAAGCAAGGAGAAATTTATAGCAGCTAAAACAACTATGGACATATTTTTGCTCCAAATGAAATTACTCAAGTATTCCATGTATTATTATAGTTTTTAAAAGCTCAAAAGCAACCAACCTCTGCATACCACATGGCATTTAGAGAACCCTAGGGGAGGAATACAGAAACACACTTAATGACAGGTTAATATCATAACTGAATATTAATGGGAATCAATGAAATACTGTATCATATTATTTCTCCCTCTAAACATACAATAAATTTATCAATCAATATTTCTTAGTATGTTTAGTAATATTTAATGGGCTAACAAAGATATCTTCATATTACCTTGAAAACTGCCCACATTTTTGCCGGCCGGGATACTGAGGATGACAGGTAACCTGGATACTAGTCCTGTTTTCCCACTTCTAAAAGCAGACACATGTAGCAGTAACTCCAAGCCTGTCTTTTTCCTGTCTTAAACCATAGATGCTTCCACTAACTAGAGAAGCCCCCAAGATACTGCTCTGAGGTTTCCTTATCTAAATCCCTCATATGCCCATGGAATTAGGAAAACCTCAATTTTTAAATAATGTATTAAACATATAATTACGAAAAAATTTTCACAAAATAGTAGTAATATATTCAATGCCAGTGACAGTACATAACAAAAAACTCTGATGAACTATCAGGTGAAATAACATTGTTACTAAAAAGAAGACTTCATACCAGTTTAAATCTTTATTTTATACATTATACTGCCACCTACTGGCTTTTTTAAATACAACGCACAATGTAAAAAAAAAAAAAAAAAAAAGTGATGTTTTACCCTTAAAATTTTTCTTTAAATCTTTCTTCTTGACAAAACTCTGTATTTTCTATAATTTGACCTTTAGGTAAGTTATTAGCACTAAAAAATACATCAGGATACTGTGTTGGGACCACACCTGCTTCACTTAAAGAAAAAAAAGCAAATAATGAAACTTGGTGATGGGGAAGCAATTAAAGAAACATCTGTGGCTCCTTACAAAACACTATTTTAAATGCAAAGGGATTAAATGTTCTATGCTCTGGAGAATCACCCTGCTGTGCTAAATGAGCCAAAGCAAAAAAATAATCCTAAAGGATAATCTGAAGTATTGTTTTCTTCACTGCCAAAACTATAATTGACCTATGTGCAGTTCTTATTTGTAATGAATTTTGTACTTTGAAAGAAAATTTCTAGTTAGTGCTTTTGTAGTTAACGGCAGAACTGAGCCACATAAGTCTGTTGAGCTTTGAGCCAGGATACTCTGCACCGAGACCTTGTTAAAAAGAGTGCCTGAGGTACCCCAGACTTATTTCTAGTAAGTGCCGCGTGTTCCAAGTGTTACACGGCCACTCCGCCACCCCTGTGAAGCCTGTGCGCCCTACCATCACTTCCTCCTCTGTGGTCTCAAAGTCCTCCTCATTAACCATGAACTGCCTGAGATGCGGGAAATGCGGCCGTTACAGACTGATGCCACTGCCTAATTAAGAAGTAGGCCTCAAGTGCACAGCTGGCTGCCAAAGATAAGCAAGCAACTCCCTCATACGTAATGAGCTTGCCGTCCAATAGAGGACCTTCCCCTACTCTAGACTGTGCTGCTAACACTGCTGCCACCCACGCTGAGTGACCAAGTGAGATATAACCTGCAGAAGGACATCAGAAGGGGTCTACCCAGAGCTGCCCTGTGTGGGGCAGCACAGGAAGAGCAACAGTGCAGGTGCATTCCACCCGTGTAAGAAAAGAACACCTTACTGCTCGACAAGAGAGCAGATGAGCAAAGAGCCCCTCCACAGACACAGTTTTCATAGCAATTACATTTAAAAAAGAAAAAGGAAACACTACAGAAATCCCATAAAACTTTAGTTTATTCAGTTCGATTCGTTACTGATATTTAAAGCTTCATGCATTAAATTCTCAATGTTCTTTAATAATCCCAGTGAAAACATCCTGTCTTTACAAACACAGACTTTTAAACTTATATAATTCTAAATTAAGATGAAAAATTAGGAGGTTAGCATCTCCCAAAGTGAAATGTTCTACTACAAAGACCAAAACATCAACAACGCACAATGAGGACTCAAGAACAACTCCTACAACCAACAACCAGAACTACTTAGAAGGATGTAAACCATGCCCAACCCTAAACTCAGAAAACTAGATGGAAAAACAACTTGCTTTCCCTCAAAAATAGTGCACCAAAACCACCTTGTATTTAGTCCACACAATGCCAGTCAAACTACCAACTGCTTCTCAAATGTGGAGCTCTATCTTGAAACAAAGTCCTCTTTGTCTTATTCTTTGTGAAGACATACTAAAACAACCAATGACTTAACCAATAGGGCCTGTGATTAAAAGATCCAAGGACCAATCAAAAAGGAAATTTCACACAGATTCAGTGATTGTTCAGAGGCTAGGGATCCAACATTGCAATTGCTGGTGGCTGAAAGCTCTCTTTTAGCGAGGCATGGAGATGCAGGCCTACCATCTCAGCATTCTGGGAGGTTGCCAGACGAGGGCTGCAAGTTTGAGCCCAGTGCAGGCAATATTGTGACTCAGTGAAACACTGTCAACAAAAGAGTGGGGCATGTAGCTCAGGGAAAGGGCCCAGGTTCAAGCTCAGTACCACACAAAAAAGTCTTATAACTAAACATTTTATAAAGAAACAGGTCAGAGAGATGACAAATATACAACCACCCAACAAAATCAACCACTCAGATGTTAAATGAATAGGTACTTGGGACTTAGGACAAAACACCCAATGACTTCACTCTAAGTTCAATAAGTACATTTCCATAATGTAAAGGAAAATGAAGATGGTTTCTGGACTAGAAAACTTGAACAAGACTCAAAAAGTGAGTTAATATTCACATGATGAAGTCATGATGTCAAAGCACATCTGAATATGTATATATCTGACTAGATGTCAGGAATGGGGACATGAGAAAGTACCTTAGGTACCTCTTTATCAGATGTGTAAATATCTTCTAGGAAAAAAATATAAACTAATGTTTTAGTAAACATGGTCCCTGTTAAATGTCTATAACTCAGTTAAGGAAAACTGTGATTATTATCACTGACCATTGACTTCTCAAAGAAAAATTATCATTTTTCTCCAACTCCAATTTATTTTCTTAATTATTTGCTCAAAGAAGCTAGAAAACTATTCTCCTACTTTAAATATTCACAACAACCACCAATAGGGAAAAAAAAAGTTACATTACCAAGTATCCTAACAGGAAACTTTGAAAAAAGAGATCTTAATGCTGCCTCCCACCAGGACAAGATGAGGAATCTTCCCTATGACTAACAACCTTTGATCCATTTAATGCTTACACTTCACATATAAATACCAACTCAGTTTAAAGAAGGCTCGGAGATGACGAGTGGATGCTTCCTAAACAAGAGCTGCTGGCGACCTCGACTCACTGAAGAGACTATGTACTGCAGGAGAGAGGCCAACTCCTATTTACTGGCTACTCGGGCCCTCAGTGACCGACCACACCATGTTCTGCCTGTGTCCCCAGCTGTCCCATCAGACTCCCCAGACACAGAGGTCCTTGCCAAGATGGGCGATGCGCATACAGAAGAGTTCAGCTGGCGGGCCTCTTCCTTCCATCACGGCTGCTTCTGACACTTGTGTTTTTAACTTGATTTCACCAGAGTGAGCGATGAACGTGGTTCTAGGAACTTTCTCTGCTTGTGCTGCCTCTGACCATGCCCAGGCGGACAGCGGGAGCAGCCGTGGTGGGAGGAATCAAATGAGCTCCTTAAACAACACGAACGATACAGACGTGGATGGCCAGGACATATGTCTGGCAGCTGCCAGGGCAAAGAACCAGCAGCAGGGCAGCAGCTTCCCCGGAGGCTGGTGACACAATTCCTGGCCACGCTTAAAGTGCTGAGCTGAATACCTGAGTCATTCCTCACCCAAATCATCCCTATGGGACTGTTTATTGATATTAAAGCCAAAACTGTTTTAATTTAGCTTGTGCACACAGGAAAAGAAAAAGAACCTGTCATAATATTATTTTAAAGATGCTAATTACATAATAATCAAGACTATTTCACTGCTTATCCTCTGACTATAAGAAGCTCCGCTTCAGTAACTCTCCTCAGCTCTAGGAAATAATTACCTTTTCCTAAAACTTATCTTAAGGTCTCCAGAATTTCTTCCTGCCACCACAGTACCCCATGCAGAACCCAAACCTCTAAGAGCTCAGACTACGCCTTCCTGCTTTTAGATAACAGTACACACTGAGAATGGGCACCATTGTAATACACATACTTTTCTCTTGAAAATAAATCTTCAGTTGAGAGCCCAGAGGTCTGGATATTATAAGAAAATCAAATCTATAATGATATAGTTCTACAACTTGAGTTCACACAACTGAATTAGCACAATAAAATGCTTAATGGAAAAATTATTTTTAACTTTAAAAATTAAACTTTTCTAAAAAGCCTATTATTATAAAAATAGTAACTACATTGATAAGTTATCTCAATGCATATGGCATCCAGTTCTTGATACTTATAGTGCTATTATCATATCACATAGCTTTATAGTCCTCTATTATTAAATGGCATTCAATGAGAAATTAAATGCTATACATGCTATAAGAAAATGCAAAACTATCAACACCCACCTGATTTGGCATGTTTTCCTTCACACGTGTCCAAGATCCAGCTTTATATAAATACTGAGCAGGGCTCAGAAATTTTGCTCTATATTCAGAGTTCACCTTCCTAACAAAGGCAAAATGGAAGTTAGTGCTTCGCTATGCTGACCGTCTAAATACCATGCTACCTTTCTTGTGAAATACATACCCAAGCCTCTGATGTCTCCAGGGAGTGAGACAAACCTGCTTTTTAGGCTGGTTTGAGTCTGTCGGTGCCATCTCTGCTTCTGATTTTAAAGGATCATCCATTTGATTACACTAAAATGGAAATAATGGAAGCTTTTATGCTTAAAATGTTATACATTAAAGTAAAAAACAAAGGTGTCATAAAGTTAGGCATGCATATTAATTACATTCGTGTCTGTAGAAGTCAGTTTTATAATCCCACCACTAAAGGAGGTTGAGGCAGGAGGATCATAAGTTCAAGTCCTACAAGGCACCTCTGTAAGACCTTGTCTCAAAATAAAAATATAAAAAGGGCTAGGGACGTAACTCAGCAATAGAGCACCACAATACCATCCCCCCGCAAAAAAGAGAGAGAGTGAAAAAACCAATAAGCAGGTTATAAACTGGTCTTTGGGGAGTTTGTGTTTGGCTTTTTGCTTTTGCTGTGCAGTACTGAGGACTGAGTCCCACCCTTCACACCAAGCTACATCCCAACCTGCTTTCCCTCTTAGTTTGAAAGAGGGTGTCTCTGAGTCACCCACACTGGGCTCTAGCCTGTGACCTGCTTGCCTCGGCCCTCAGAGTGCTGGGACTACTGTTGCGTGCCCATGCCAACCTGGTTAGTTTGTTTTTATTTTTAAAAGGCCAGGATATAGTTGCATTTTCTAACAATAAAAATTTAAATCCTAATGGAAGGAAATTCAAAGACTAGCAAATACTTATTTAAATAAACTTACTACACACTGATCAGTCATTTTAGATTCACCTTTGATGTGCTAAATTTGTTTTTTTTTTTTTTTAGGATCTTACCATGCAGTGTAGGCTGGCCTTGTAGGCCCTGGGGGCCTCAAACTCACAGCAGTCTTGCTGCCTTAGTCTCCTGAGTGCAGGGTTTGCAGGCATACTTCCCCGCCCCCAGCTCACTTGTTACAGTAATTAAATGTAAGACTCTGATGAATAAGCTATGTCAATACTTTATAACTAATATAACACTTTTTCTTTCCCAAGAATGTCAATGGTCCCTCCCCCTGCAAAAACCAAACACATACATACATATTTTAAACTGAAGCTTAAGCATGCTAGTTTAATGTCAGTGTAATTCACATAATTTACTTCAGTATATGCAAACAATGGCTTCTTTGTGTGGTCACAATTTGCTTTTAGTTACATACTTTCTATTTTTAAGAAACACTGAATATCAGGTATCAGTATTACAAGACATTCAAAAGTAGTATTTAAACTTCATTTTCCTATAATATTCAATGATCTTTAGCTTGATGCCACAACTTAAAAGTGGCCACGTAAAGAAACAGCGGTTTATATACACTGAAGTAATTACTGTATGTGAAGTATACTGTCATTAAATTAGCATGGTTCAGTTTGAGGAATTACATACACATATTTCTATTACTTAATGTGTTTCTATTATTCCTGCTACCTCTGGGGCTTACACTACTGTGAAGTCAATCATCTGACATTAAACATAACAGACTTACATAGTATATTGCTCAGTATCCAACACACTGAACTATTTTTATTAATTTATCTCTCCATTAGCCTAAGAGCTGCTTGGGGTTTGTATGTTATTCCTGTTTTCTCAGCATCGAAACAGTACCTGGTTACAACAACATACTCAATGAACAGCTGACATTTAATGAACAAAAAGAGGAATTAATGAGCTAGCAAAAAAAAAAAAGAAAAAGAAAAACCTTAGGTAAAAGAAAATTCAAGTCTAAAATAATGGGTAAGGTGTTCTGTTTAAAGGTTAAAAGTTGACGAATACCTTCTCAGGAGATAGTGTTTCGAGATTTCCGTTTTCTTTCAAGTCCCCTCTCAATTTTAGTTCCTTCACTGGAGATAAACCCTTGAAATTTCTTTTGTACTCTGTTTCATGGATGACTGGGTTACCTTTGAATTGTGGAACAAATTTGCTTTTATTGTGAAAAACCTTAAAACAAAAATTAGTTTAGTTTAGTTCTTTTGTCAAGTAACAGAACTAAGGTCTTCAACTGCTTTTATTATATATGAATTTGATTAAAGGACATGAAAAAGCAAAATTATATTTGATTTTAATTTCATTTCATGTGTCTAATTAATACCCAAAGGTCAACTTTCTATAGTCATTACTGTGTTTTGAAAGAGTAATCATAACTGTAATCAAGTAATTCTTAAGCTAAAATAAATAATAAATCATGCTTGTGGCTGACCTTTTCTCCTCAGCTTCCTACCCACCTCCTATAGGTCAAATACAAAGGGTACATGTTAATAATAGGAACATGGACATTAACTTCATTCAGGCAACTCTTATTAATTGTATAGTGAGGGTGTTTTGCTCCTTAACATGAAGTTTTTCTTTCTTTCTGAAATAACATAAAATTAAATATAAAAGTCTTAATATTTTGAATAGTGTGTTTAATCTGGGGTCTCCCCTCCCCTTTCTTCTACTTGCTTATTTTTCCCTTTTTCATTGTCAAGAAAAAAGCTCAAGTGAATATTATATTTCTCTACTTAAAGGTTTTCTTCTACGCTTAATATCTTACAGTATCATTTCCATCTTATGGTACACTATCCCTGATTACAAAGGAAGTACATGGAAAAGATGGGGAGCTCGACTGAGTTACACAGCCCCAGAATCTGCCATGCCAAGTAGTACATCTTCACCCAGCTCCCATCCTAGTACCCCATAACCTCAAGAACTTCCCAAGCGAAAACTGTTCTGACTCCTTTACATATTGCTATAAGAATCCCTTCGGAAAATAGGTGGCTAATAAAACTGAATATTCCATTAGAGGCTCACATCAACAAGAATCAAAAGCTTGTCCCAGAGCTTTTCAATCCACAGACCCTGAAATTAATGTTTAGAACTTAAGAGCATTTGCTTCCAAAAGAGGTCCTTTGAAACTTCACTAACAAAATCAATAAAATTACTAAAGATATTGCTAGTGATTTAGTTCACACTGTATTTCTAATTCTATAAAAATAACATTTCTACACAACACTTTTACTGACATGTAAAATTTGTCAGTAGGGTTTTGTTTTGAATCAGCTCTACCTCAGAAGTCAAATTCTCTACAAAAACTGAACACTCATAATTTCCAGGTCATAAGTAAATTCTTTGGTTCATTTATTATCCAAGAACATCCATAAGCAAGCAAAAGTCCTATTCTCTAAGTTAGTAACATACCACTTCCTTTAATTCATTGTTCCTAAAATGTTCTATGAGCTTCAGTAAGAAACCTGAACCTGCTACAACTGATATGCCCACTGCTGTTACCATCTTAGTGCAGGATGATCCATGCTAATTATCTTCTGAGTCTTTAGGGATGTATAATGTAGACTAGTGAATGCTGAAGTGTAAGAGTAAATGAATATCTGGATAGGGGGAGTTATGTGTGTAGAAAGAAAAACACAAAGACAAGGAAAAAGAAAAGACTTAGCTGCCATGGGGTCCAAGAATATTAAAAGTGGAGGTCTGCCTGGCAAGTGCAAAGCCCTGAGTTTGATCCCTGGTACGACACAAAAAAAAGGTGGAGGTGTTTCCTACCAACGTCTAAAAGCACCATATAAATAAAACATAACTGAGATTTCAGAGTCTAAGATCTTCCTGAAGGATGATAATAGTAAAACAGAATGTTCATTAGAATGGCACTTCAGTATTAAAACTGTGCAAGAGTATAATGAAATCTAGTCGCAATTTAGTTATCATTATAGTTTTTAAGTTTCATACATATAAATTGCCAGTTCCTATTACTGTCCACGTGATACAATGATTAAATTACATTTCTTGTATTACTTTCAACATATTACGCATTTTAAACATAATATGCCTTTTAGGAAGGTATGCCTTCTTGAAAGAAACATGCAAAGAATTAGTCAAGTAAGCACAATATCTTAGAATAAAATCAATTGAATAATATTAATTTAAAAATATAAAAGATTGTTTTGGCATGCAAAAACTTACCAGTTCCCCAAGTTTTCATTACCCTGACTCATATCTAGTGCATGTGACGAACCTGGCAACAGTGACCATCAGTGGCCTGGGAGGGTATAGTATCACTCCTATAAATCCTACGTATTGGGGTCACTTTAGCAAAACTCATTCTGTTGTCTAAAGAGGCCTACTTAGTACCAAATATCCTTTAGTTCTCAAGTCCGTGTTTCTACACATCGCTAGATCAGACAGTGATACTCAGAAATACATTACATCCTTTCAGCTACCTGATTGGCTGCAACCACTGGAGCTGTTTCTTTAGGATTCTTCCAGACGAACTGTCTTTGATACTCAGAATTTCTCAAGGCACTATGTGAAGGAACAACAGTCAATCCAGCTTTCTTACGCAGAACTCTATCCAACTGTTAGGAAAAGAAAAATCCACTCAAAGCCCCCAAAAAAACCTATTCAAACTTTAAGTTGTGCTAAAAAACACAAAATATGAAAGTTCCTATAACAACTTTTAAGTAGATTTGCAGTATTGTTAAAGGAATGCACAATGCTGTGCACCAGACGTTTTTCAATGTTCCATAATCTCTTTTTAAACAAACTATTTAAAATCTCTTTTATAATACTACCAAGGTACCATTATGCATCCCAGAAAAAGACACCATCTTAGTCCCTTTCTATTAATCATTAATAGTTAAATGTATTACCAGAAAACCACAGCAGCTTCTCTTATGCACATACTGCTTCTCTGGACACCCTTCCCCCTACCTCTACCCAGCAGACTCATAGAGCGCACTCCTGGAGTCCGCTACACACACACACACACACACACACACACACACCAGCTCTCTCAACAAGCCACAGATTCTTCTCCAGCACTCCCAAATGCCTCTCCAGGGTTCCAGTCAGTGGTGCGAGTGAAACAGGGAAGGAGCAGTGGATTGACAAAGAAATGCAGGCAGCAGCGAGATCCACACACAGACCCTGCAGCCGCTGCTTATGTGCTCACGCAGTCCTGCCCCGAGCCAGCTATGATATAAGAGGGCAGAAATGCAAGAGCTTTGGGAGCCAGCCAGAGCTTTCCTCCTGTCAACTGAGATTGCTTGTTTTCTCACTGGTACACAATAAGACACTGAAAAGGAGACAGGCAGAAGTCAGCGCAGCACCCTTGCCAGAGCAATGGCCTACTCCCCTTCTGTGTCTCAACTTGATCTGTCCCTTAGGATTCAGGCACTGATCTATGATGAAGAAAATCAAGAGGCAGACTGTCCACCCAATGAAGGCATCTCTTAGCATAAGCAGTACAAAATGTCGGGTGTACAGAATAGAACCCTTCTTGATAAGTAAAGTCAACACCTCTTATCAACTACACAACAGAGACAAAAAAATAACAATGGAACATTTGAAACACAAAATTCAATATTCCTGAAATGATGCTGAAACCAATAAGGAATGCTATGCCTTTGAAATCAAAACAACAATTCAGATTGCGCCTACCCCATTATCTACATTTTCTGAAAGCAGGTTGGCAGGATGTTCCTGGTCCACATTTTCATCGAGTGTGTGGCTGGCTGCTGCACCCTCATTCTCTTCCACAGCATCTGAAGCCCCTTCAGCTCTGGAGTCTGCAGAATGCGATCTGGTTCTCTTGGGACCCCTGGAGGCCTCCAGTGCAAGAACTTTCTCTAGGTTAAAGTTGTCTTCTTTTTCAGCCTCTGATTTTGGTGTTGCTGGGGCTTCCAGTTCTGGCGATACAACATCATTCTCTGAGATAGCTCCATTCCACTTGAGAGATTTTGAAATCTGTGGGTCATGGTAAGGGACTCTTCTTTTTGAAATAAAACCTGGCTCTTTTGTGATCCCTATAAAACACAGCAAACAAAAACAGAAGCTAGAAAAGCAAGAAGTTACAAAGGTAACTTGTAATAGCTTATGAACGTTGAAATGGAATTTAAAATTCAGTCGATATATGCACATAACACACAATTTCCTTCAGATTACAGAATAAAAAACTAAGTACAGATTTTCAATATAAAATATTTAATTTTGCTTTTAAGAAATATTAAAAGTTTAACTATAACAAAAAATTAAAAATCGGGGTCACAGTGTTCACATTATCCTCACACAAGTCATTTGGATTGCAACCCGATGGCCCTGGCAAGCCAGGCAGTCCATGCCACCTCCGTTTCTAATTACTTTCCTGTGCTACTTAACAGAACAAAGGGCTCTGGGGTCTGTCAAAATTTGGAACTTTTCACAAAGCTTCTCTTATGTAGAGGAGACCAAGATGAGAAGGGATGAGATGTCATTACGCTGGATCTTGGTGCTACTTTTGCCTTGACTTCCTGAGAATTGGAAAGAATGAAGCCTTTTAACAAAAGCTAAGGTACAATTTCCCTATATTTCTATCTGGCAAGCAAATATCCAAAAACTGAACCTGCCACTAAGATAAAAACGAGCTCTGCAAATGATAGCCACTAAGATACTGCCCTAGTTCAAAGCCCCTCTTTAAACAGAAGACTACTGCAGGGTGGGAAAGGAAAATTTAAGAACAGAACAGAAGGAAGTAGAAGTTAGATAGAAAACACAACATGAAGCAAAACCCTGTACTTCTCAGCCTCTCTCATGGATGCTTTGGCATTGAGGCCAGGTTCCTGTCTTACAGGCTTCCCTGTAACAGCAGTCTTCAAATGGGTGAAGATATGCCTGGGTACACAGAGACGTGTAGGGGTAAACAGATACTACTATTTTCCAGATCCAAGCCTCTACTGTACTCTTGCTTGACACTGACCTAGCTGCCGGAGGGCTTTCTGTGCCACGTGCAGCTCCATATCCCATCATCCCCTTCGCAGTCATCCTACTCCCAAGACAGACACCTCTCAACCAGCCAGCCACCTCCTGCAGCACATCACCCCAAAGTACAACCAAGTCTCAGGAGTCAGGACACAAAAACAGGGACAACTCAAGAAAGCATTATTGCTGAGGAAGAATATCTGACAGGAAAGCAAAGACAGAGGCCAGCAAAAATAAAAGTACAGCATCTAATACAGTTCTGGGTCTTTTCCATCTCCGTATCTTAGAACTAAAGTTCAGGTGTGAAAAGGTAGTCTTGTGAAAGGCACATATGCATGCTAATTTTGAACTGAAAGATTAAGTTAGGTTTTTTACTCACATAAAAAATGTTAATTTGGGCCGGCCAGATAGCTCAGTGGATTAAAGCACCTGCTTAGGCAGTCCCAGGGGCTTGGTTTCACTCCCCCAGCATGCTGTGCCGGCCCCACCCCCGGGGTTGATTGGGCATGGTGGCACGCACCTGTAATCCCAGCTCTTGGGAGGCTGAAAACAAGAGAATCACTGAGTCCAATCGGTGTAGTGAGACCCTATAGATCCTCTACTAAATACATTTTTAAAAAGAAAAAAACACTAATTGGCTGCTCAGGTGGCAAATGAGAACTGAGCTTCCCACTTATCTGATAACATCTCCCATAAATTAAATGGCTACATTGAATGAACTAACACATATCCTTTGCAATGATTTGTAAAAACTTAGAATAAAAAACTGAAAAATAAGTGGGACAAAAGATTTTCTAAAGTCTTGAGGGAGTATGAAAGCAAAAACTGGGGCCGGGGAGATGACTCAGTAGAATAAGTGCATGCCTGGCAAGCACAAGGGCCTGAGTTCAATCCCTGGTTCCGCAAAAAAGAAAAAAAAAGCAAAAACTGTTTAGAGGCTACTGCCACAGACTTCTCCCTGTTTTGAGACTGAGTCAGGATTTGGGTAAACAAGCAAAATGAAAGATCAGGGCAAGAGTCTCCAGCAGTTTGTCCACTGCCTCCAAACACTAACCAACACTCAAGAGAAAAAGAAACACACTATGCTAAGAGAACGAGTGCACAGCCAGCCCCAGGTAGAACTGCTGCTGCTCCTTACTAACCTTCCGTCTCTGTGTCTCAGCATCCAGGAGTTCTCGGGGTAGGCCTCGCCCTAAATGTCCCGCTGACATTCTCCCCTAGACTGCTATTTCCTTCAAAACATACCACACTCCAGCGTGGCTTTGCTCCTTCAGTCTCCTTCACCACTTCTCACTCAAGTGCAGCTGACCTAAGCTAAAAGGTTACGGGGGGCAGCTGTGTGGCTAACAAATTGTCCAGCCCCCTCATATCCCTCTCTCTACGTCTTCAAGGAGACAGCTACACTTTAAGCAAGATTGGCTTTGCATCCTTAACCTAATAGTGCCTCACGTGCATGATATTTCTGCCCTGAGAAGCAGTGGTACCTGGTCTCCAAAGTCAGGCCTTGGACTAAGCAACCTGATGCTCCAGAGGGACCTACTCTCAGCCTCTCTTTGTCCAGCAAACCTAACCCTAAAAACTCTGATTCTATTAATTTCCCAGTTTGACAACCAACCCTGGCTTTAATTATTGATCATAGGCGGGATCTACAGACCACATCACCCATGGGGTACACAGCGCTGACCTGCGCATATGTATCAGGCCCTTAACAAGCGGCCTCTCACTGAATCCTCCTAGCAATCCTGCAAAAGCCCCCACTTACAAAAACAGGCCCACTTTGGGTTGGGAAGATAGTTCAGCAGTCTAAGAGCATGTCTGGCAAGTGCAAGGACCCAGGTTTGATCCCCAGTACCAGTACCGCATGCTGTTCTGGGCATGCCATGCCAGCCTCATGGTGGTGCAGAGCTGCGGAGGCTGAGACAGGAGCATCACTATGAGTCTGAACTGCATAGCAAGACCCTGTACCAAAGAAGAAAAGAAAGAAAGAGAGCGAGACAGACAGAAAAGTAGTTCCGGCCGGCCCTCTTTGCCCAAGGTCCTACAGCTACTGTGAATTCAAAATTAGGTTTATTCATTTATTAAAAACTAGACTAAGACAAAGAGGGAAGGGGGAAGGAGGGAGGAAATGTAATGAAAAGGAATTAAGATGTAATGAAATGTAATGAAAAGGAATTAAGATGTGGTGCGTCATGTACCAACTCCCCATGAGGAAGGCAATCATTATGTGCTACAAGCATGTAGCCATAAGACAAAAATTTTAAAAATTAAAAAGTTTTCATAAGCAGTCAAGTGTTTCAAGGTTCTAAATTAAATGCTGAGAAGGACCAAAAAGCTAGAACCCTGCTATCAGCAATCTTACCGTCTGAGAAAGAAATTTTAAACTAGCAAGTACAACAAAATCAGTCTGTCTCTATTCTTGTCATTCTATGGGAAACAGGCTCTGAACAAGGCAGACTTGATTTCAAATCATGGCCCTGCCACTTACTGTGAAGCTGGGGCAAGCCAATTCATCTATCTAAGCTTCCATTCCTCAAGACTTCAGGAACCTCCTTCCTAGGCTTGTCACCCCCTCCCACTCAGTGTTCAGGTCCCAGGTCAAATGTCACCTCTTCATGAGAGCCTTTCTTGACTGCTGAATCTAAGGAGTGTTCCCTCCCACCCACTACTCCCTCATGTTACCTATCACATTCCCTATTTTACACACAATATGAAGTCTCATTTACTGTTACCTGCTTATTGTCTCCATAGTTACGGGGCTTTGTCTGGTTCAGGGTTGTTCCTAGAGCTGGGAAATGGGGCCATTGTAAACTCACAATATTTATTAAATAAATGAATGTGTCAAACAGGTCCACTGCCCTTGTAATAAATCCACTTTTGTAAACTTAGTCCAAGGTTTATGTTCAAGATATAAGCCCTGTTTGTTTCAACTTACCTAATTGATCCGATCTAAGTCCGGCCCATGGGTATTTTCTCCCCACTGAGGAATTACAGGAGTCTGACAAATAAGACTTTTTCCACAGAAAGTTTCTCTGGTATTCACTCAGCCCCTGTAATGCAAGGCACAATTTGAAAATAGTGCAATGAAATAGCGTTTCTAGGCAGCCATCAGTAAAAATAATTTCTCAACCTCCAAAGACAGTTGAACCTGAGAATTCAACAGACAAGCTCCTTAATAATAGCTAATATTTACCCAGCTCTGCGCTAAGAGCTTCAGGAGTTATATCCTTTAATCCTCACCACCACTTGAGGCACCTGCTAGCAGGCATCTGAAGCCCGGAGGCGGGGCTGCCCTGAATTCCAAGGTGTGAGCTCATCTTGTCTCAACCCAAGTCTTCACAGTACAATTTTCCTAAATATCCACCGAGTATACGGTATTATTATGCCGCGCACCTTTTAATATTTAAATAGGCAACCAAAGCAAGCCAAACTCCTCGTCCACTGCAGGCAGGGAGAATTAGGACTTGAGGAACGCTGCGGCCACCTGTTAGGGGGAAGGCTGCGAGTCCCTGGCAGCTACTGTGTACTACTCTTTCTAAGAACTCATTTCTCGCGACTTGAAAGGGCACACAAGCTTTAAAGTTTTAAAGGGGAAGGGGAAATAAATAATAAACCGTGAGACGGGGCACAGATGTCGCCTTTCGTCCCCCCGGCTGCACCCCGGAGAGCCCCAAAATAAGCGGGTCTCAATGCGGCCTAACTCTCCCACACCCCGCAAGTCGGACAGGCTGGGGCGCGGAGGGGCAGGCAGGGGCGGCAGCACCCCGCGGCCGCGGCTGGCCCCGCGCGGCCCGGCGCCCGCACCCGCCCGCCGGTGCCCGGACTCCAGCCTCACCTTGAAGCGCACCGGCATGTCTCCCGGAGCTGGAGCCCCCAGCCACCGCGACAGTTGACTGGACAAAAAGCCCCCCCGGGGGCGGGGCGACAACAGCCGGTTCCCTAGCGAGAACCAGAGGCCTGGCGTCCACAACTACGCGCCGGCGCACTCCACGCCTCTCGCCTTGAGCCCTGTCGCTCTGCTTTTCCCCGCCCATTTTGAAGCCTGAGGACCAATAGCAACTCGCATAATCTCTTACGGTCATGACGAGTTGACCAATCAGTGCCCGGGACAGCTCCAGGGGGCTAATAGAGAGGGCGGGCGGAATGCTGGCCAATGAGGCTCCTAGGAGCGGGATGGGCGGGGGCCCGCGGGAGCTTCGTCTGGGGTGGCGCGGCGGGTCCTGACGCTCGCCCTGCGCAACAATGGGTCTGCGTGCTGGCGGGGGTTCGAGTGGGTGCTACCTCGTTAGGCCAAGGTTTTTGACATCATAAAGCCTGGAAGGGTTTTTTGCATTCCAAAAGGTATGACAGAACCAAGTGTTTCTTTTTCTGAAAGAAAAGTGTTCGGATCTGTTCCTCTGAAAATCAGTTCCTGGAACCAATAGCCTCTTGATACTGTTGTCAAGTCTAAAGAGATAATGTTGAAAAATAGATATATCTTAGGCAGCTTAAAATACATTTTATTGAAACGCGACAGCAAAATTGCAGTCTGCTCCCAGAAATGTTTGTCTACCCCCTCCATTACCTTCCCCCAAAAAAACATGTACACACAACGCTTAGATTAGAAAAGATTTATTACTGGCGCCTGTGAGTCTCAACTTCCGAACCTTCAGCCTTATCCCCCTCCCCACCATCGTTTTTTGAAATAAAATTATATCTGACTTTAATGGAGTGTAGTCATCAGCTACAACTCTTCTTGGTAGAATACTTTGCTGTCCCAGGATTGGGAAATTACCCAGACTAATACCTTTGCAAAGGATGTGCATGTGTTTATTCAATGATGGTATAATACAGTCTGTGCTCCATTTCCAATTGAGAAGTGTAAAGGAAAAGAGCTACAGGAGTTCAACTGGGAATTACCCCTGAGGGTGATGATTACAAAAGGGCAGGAGGAAACACTCAGCCTTGAAGTCTAGAAGGGCTGCAATAACTGAAGAGGAAATGGGATGATCAGGTGATGGATCCCTGGTTGGAATGCTGCCAGGCATCTTTCAGGAACAATGACTAGAGTCAGTGTCTTCGATGTTTGTCATCTGTTCACTGATAAAAGTGTACCTCCTTTAAATGTTCCTATATTAGACCAAACCTTGATGTTCCCCTTTAAGCATTTTCTGCAAAGGCTTGTCTTCCTGATTCCTAATTGATGTCTCTGTTCTTTGTCACTTAAAAATTCATTTGAAGAAGACACCTGACATGTGAAACAAAGAGAATATTAAATTAGTCCCTATACAACCATGTATCCAGGGAGCCCTTGATTAATGTTAATTAGTGATGACAGCATCTGTTTATAAATTAAGAATGGCACAAGCAAGACATGGTGCAGCACTAAACAAAACTCTTCTGCAGGAAGGCAGCCCAAATCTTATAGGGCAGGAAAGACAACAGCCTAGTCGTACACACATCTTCCTTTACCTCACAATGCTAAGGTGAAAACCAGCAAAAGCAAACACACAGAATGTAGTCTGTCTGGTAAACAGAAACAGTAGGGCTCAGCTGAGCAGGGAGTAAATGACAGGAAACCAAATGGCAGGTGGTGAATATAATGTCACAGCCTAGATTAGAGATGTGTCATCGTTATTGGTAGGAAAATCTACCCCTAGCTTATGAGGCAAAGATATAGAATGAAAGAAAAAAAAAAAAAAGGCATAGCATTGGTGAATGAGTTTTATAGCCTTGTCTGACCAGGCTCTTTTTCCTCTGCTCCAACATAAGCAGACCCAGTATCCTTCAAAGTTCCATCCCAGGTTTCTCCAGAGTCCCTAGCAGATGTGTCACAAGTGCTTATGACTGCAGCATGCAGCGTTTCCAGCAGCACTGCCCCTTGCTTCCATGGCCATACATCTGTAGGTGCCACCATTGCTGCTGGCCATCCAGGCATGGCAGCTCACAACTGAGTCCACTGAGCAGAGCTACCCCTCACACTGCCGGACAGTAGGGCAGGTAACCTGTGAAAGGCCTGTCTCCTCCTCCCCTTTTATGAAGCGCCTGTCTCCTTCTTTCAAGTGTGGACCAAAGAATCTTTACAGAGCTTTTTTCCGTTTGTGCTTTAGCCCTCCTTATCTCCTAAGGGCTCAACATGAAGTCTATGGAGCTCAGGCCAGTAAGTGACTCAAAGGACGGCTTTTATGCTATGCGCCTGTCTTCCACTAGAAGGCCTTCTTACTGGTCCTGGCTCTCTCTCCCCTTTGTTGATTTCTCAGATTGTTCTCTACTGCCTGTGGGAGACCAAATTAGCCCAACCAACCTCAAGAAGGGCAGTTTGGCAATCTTTTGACTCAACAATTCTTCTAAAAATATCTTACTGATAGATGTATATTAGTCAAAAGATATTTAAGATTATTTAATGCATTGGTTTTAGTCACATAAGAGAAAAAAAAAAAAAAAGCCTAACTGTCCATCTAGAGGGGACTAGTTAAATAAATTCTGGGTCATTCAATGCACAGATCAAGTACAGACTGTGTGGCAGATCCAGAGGACAGTTGTAGGCTGCTCTCCACTTAGGCCTCAGGCAGGCTGGGCCCCCTTAATGTACTGTATCTGTTCAGGGCCAGCCAGGCAAACAGAAACTACCTAGCTACTTCACAAAGAGAACTATGAGCTATTGTTAGCACAGAGGGGATATTAAGTCCAAGAAAGAGCTCACCCAAAACTGAGAGAACTGAGAGAAGGGGAAATGCTGAGGCTACCAGAAGGCCAGGCTGGTGGGAGAGGCTTCACCAACTTGTTGGATCTCTGAGAAAAGATACCGCGCGACTGAGGTAAGGGCCTCTGAGTGAGAACAAGTCTGCCTCGTGAAGGCCCAACATGCCAAGGAAAAGGAAAGCTGGAAGTTAGATCAACTATGGAGTAAAAGGACACAGTTTAGGTCTTACCATCAGGAACAGGAGTGAAAGAGAACATTCCAGTCCCTCTCTAGGTAACCTCTCTTAGCAACACTGACAGGAAGCTGGCCTTGTGGTTTACAGGCTGAAGGTGGAAACAGGAAGCTAAAGACAATAGCTTGTTGATTTGCCACCCCCACAACGCTTGAAGAGAAAGAGGACCCTGTGCGAGAACTGATGAAGACAGAAAGGACAAGCAAGGCTAGAGGCTGGGTGTGTATAGCGGACCAGCAGCTGGGGTGAAAGGATGAAGCAAAGAAAAACCTGCCATCTGATAGCCTATCATGGCCTCGTTTGCAGGCACTTTTCCCCTTTCTTATGACTCTAACTCCATTAGCAGGAGCTATAAAAATGGAGAGCATTTTATTTAGCTTACTTATAAGGATTCAGAAACTTCAGGTATTGGAGGTTACCGTTAGGGCCTTTCTTAAGCAAAATAACTCCTTCCACTGGTTCTTTCTAGATTCATCTGGTTTGATAAACATCACAGTAAACCTGTTGCTTCTTATAAAGACAAAAATCCTTTAAAGAAATTTTTATTTCATCTCAAAGTATAAATATTCTGATCCACCACTCATTCTGTTAAAAACAGGAAGCGGGTGGCTCCAAATCTAACAGTCTCATCATTTTCTTGGTAGCAATTACAACACAAGAACATCCATATTTGCCTTTCGCTGTATTTTTATTTAACAACTAAAAAATTGTGGAAGACCTTGGACAAGGGTTAAAGAAAGAAGATAGAAAGGTAAGTCAGGGCCCCTGTATTCAAAAATGATTCCAATTGGAAGGGGGGAGAAAGACACATACACAAAGCACACGGGAAGTGCAAACAGAGGAGGAAGCAGGCAGGGGCCACATGCAAGCACCTACAGTGTTCTGAGGATGTTTTGGAATCTAGTGCCAGAAAGCTGTATCCAAGATGGACTAAAAACTAGGCAGGATAGAAGAGCTGCTTTTAAATTCCATCCTGGGGAATACGTGATCTAGGACGTCTAGCTTTCTCTTTGTTGCACTGGGGGAACTGAATCCAGGCCAGACCTTCCTTGGGAAGACTCTACTATTGTTTGCTCCAGGTCAGTTCCCAAAAAGCAAACCACATACTGAACTACATATTGTCTTCTGTGTCTCTTTGTCTCTGTCTCTGCCTCTGTCTTCTCTGTGTCTCTGTCTCTCTATATTATTTTATTTTTCCTTTCAGAAATCAGAATAAAGCTGCTTTAGAAACAACCATTTTATCAACAGAATGATAACAGCCGCCTTGTGTTTGCATGTGTAATTTTCTCTAAAATACAAAGAAACTAAAATCCCTGTTTCCAGACTTCCAGCTCATTAATTATGCAACATTCTCTCCAATGACAATTGAATTTCATTGGTAAATCTTGGCTTTGCCATAAAACAATCTCACAGCCACTTTCATTTGCCTTTTCACATAGATACTAACCCATTTCTCCTCATACCGATGAATTTCTGATTGCATGACCAAAATAATTGCAATTAAATCATTGTATACTTTCTCAGGAGGAAAATTGCTGACGCTTCACATTAACGTCGGCAAGAATCAAATAAAGAAGGTCTGTGCTGAAGATTCACCAGCAATCCAAGTGCAGTTGGTCCTCCAGACTTGGGGTCACAGGACGACTTTGTTGACAAGGGAATGTCTCTGTTTTTGGAATCAGTAGGCCACCTTTGGAAGGGCTTTGGAGGGACTCCAGCTTCTCTTGACAAGAGAACCCCAGGTTCTCTTTTGGTGAGCCAGAGGAACTCTGCACCATACAAGGCCATGCTGAGCAAAGTAATTCTTAGTAAGGCATAAAGCACTGCGTGCCTCACATACCTTAATAATGCTGCCGAGCCTCACTGAATGAGACAAGGGGAACAAAATTTGGGGGCACAAAGTTCCTTTCATTTTAATGCCTTCACTGCCGGTGATTCTAGCTAAGAATTGCCTTCCCCTTTCTTTGGTGTTTATTCACTGTTTTTTAAATCACCATCCTTTACAAAGCCCCCACAGGAACACAGATTTTTCTAGAATTGCTCACTGCACATTTAGA